ATCTTCCTCCAAAAGCCGAATGCGACGAGTCATAGCAGCAACCTCAGCTTCAGCCTACCGTGAAAACAAAATCAAATGATTAGCATAAGTCTTCAGAGACTTTATTTCACTACAAAAGCAGGTGCTCTGTCCGAAAATTAACAAAAATTGAAACAACTTCATTAGGAAAAATACAACACAAATTACAGCCTCCTTTTTGTGGCGCTCCGTATCAATTGCGTCCATTTTGAGGGCTATCTCTCGTTCCAAGTACTCTTTTCGATGAATCATTGCAGTTATCCTGCTTTTCACTGCATCAACACCCGGTGACGCCTCCATCGCCGGAAATCAATTCCCGCGCCAACCCAAGTAAAGAAAACAAACGACTTTGCCTTGCATCCACTCATTTCTTAGTACCACGGCTTTTTAGAATTGCGTGACAAATATCGATGCTCGAATCCAAAAGCGGTAATATGGGTAGCAAACAATGGTGTTCCAAATAACTTCCAGATTTCAGTGGCCGGTGTATATAATCACCGCAAAATGTTGCAGTCTTGCTCCTGGCCTGCAAGAACACTTGATCTTGCACTTGCTGGTGTCAGACTTCTAAGTAATCAATTATACGCTTTAAAACTTGACTACTAACTGTCTACAAGCTAGTTTTTTGTAATGGCCTAACACTGATTAAGGAAGTTTGATTAGGCGCCCTTACTACTTTATTGTAGTTAAATGGTATTGAGTCATGTCGGTAGTCTTTCTAAGGATGATTGACTCACGTTTGTCGCACGCTTTTCGGTTTCCTCCAGCTTGCTGATCGCTTCCTGGAGCGATTCTTGCACAGTGTCAACTTCCGTCTGGATACTCTTTACTTTAGAAAGCCAGTCATTCATTTCTTCTTCTTTTTTTTCGAAATCCTTGGCCTTCTCCTTTAGCTGGTTCTCCAGATTTATAGCCCTTCAAAACGATAAACCTATTAACAATGTCGGTTTGGCCGTAAATTTCTCATGATTCCTCCAAGAATTTTTCAGCTAATGAGTGCACCACTTATTGGAGGCATCTCTTTAAGCCGCAAACATCTTTTTACTTCATGAACTATTTAGTTATTAGTAGCTATTCTTCTTTTAACTCCGTGAAGTAACATAAAAAGGATCGATTTAGTAAGCCTGGAAGCTCATTCTACTTAGTTTTATGAATGGAGAAAGAGCAGGGCATTTTATTCTGTATTCCCTAGAAGAACTTTGTTTCCTTGATGGAAAGTCCGGTCTTTTATGAGTACTTTTTATCGTAAAAACGTTAACAAGCAAATTTATTCATACAGCAGCAGCTTGATTTTATGTTTGTAAAAGGTGCTTGCTTTATGCCTTCAAAAGCACCCTAGCATCCAAGCATCATTTTTGGGCTGTAGAAGCGCAGTTAATGGAGTGCTCAAACAGAATTGCTTTAAAGACGCCTTTTTTAACTAACTAGTTTTGAAACGACCACAGTTTCCGCAAAAGCGCAGAAAAGGTTTCCTTTTACATACTTTGTCAGTTTGCGGTCTCCCATTGAACTTCACTAGCCGCAGCAAAATAATGACATTATACTTTAGCATATTAAAGTCGGATCCAACTCAGTGGCAATAAAATTGACTTACTTTTCCAATGCATTTTCCTTCTCTAGCTTCATTGCCATCATCTTCTTCTTGATGGAATCCATGTTTGGAAACTAGCAACAAAGTTGAACTTTAGGAGAGGACCAGAATATGCTGCACCAGGAAGTCTTCGTGTGCGCTGTAGGGCA